ACTTGCAAGTATTTGTAATTTATTTTTTCGTATCTATTAATAAAGCAGAAAATAATTTGCAAAAAAATCAATAAACAATTTACCTTCAAAATCTTTTAAAATCTAATTAACAAAACAAATTCAAAGATATAAAGAAATAAAGAAATGATTTTAAAATCCCTTAATGTTCAAATTCTTTCAGATTCTAATTGCAAACCAAACACCCCCTTTAGCCGCATTTGTTATAAACTTATAATGCAGGAACTACAAAACCTTTTAATTCTATTCCAAATGATGATAGACAATTAAGAAGGAATTCACATGCTTTGTAGAGACGAAAGATTAAGAGCAAGTTTCTTTCCCATCCTTTTTAGGTGTTTTTGACAAGGTGACATCAATCTCACAACCGATCCAATGCACACAACAAGCAAAATACAAGGCCCTCATGCTCATTCAGACATTATAGATAATTAGATATCATCCATCAAATCATAAGCGCTAGTATATATGAGCTTGGTTAGCTTCAGAAGTCAAAAAGAATTTTAACTCCAAATTTAAAAGATTTATCAAGCCGATTGTGTGCCATATATATAAAAAGAAGTGGTTACCTGGGGATTAGATACACGTCCACCAGGCACAGGGGATGCAACATGAAGAACCCCAATGCAACCAGCAAAGGCAGCACAAAGATTTTCATATTCTAGCACGTCTGCCTTAAACAGCTTCAACCTCTCTTCAGCATTTTCCAACTTCTTCAGGTGACCATTCTTTTTCTCATCACCTTAAGATCAGTTACTTTTGAACTTCAGCAAAATACACATATAGAGTTAAACTAGAAGATCATATTGTAAGAGGTGGGAAGTTAGGAAGTTTATTAGACCAAGAATATGTATAAATAATAGGTCAACGCCTTACTAGAGCGAAATCGTGAATAAAAACCATATCAAACTTCAATAGAGTGATAAAGCCTATTAGAACAAGATTATTTATAAATAAGAATTAAGTTCAAGATAGTGAGATTATGAAATAAAACCAAAGAAAGAGCATACATGGGTCTCTAACAGTTCCATGAACCATGTAACCTTTGGAAAGCAAAAGCTTCACAACCCATGAAGCAATATAACCTCCTGCTCCTGTTACACACACCCTCTTCATCTTCTATGCGTCTTACTTTTCAACATTCAACTAATACATAAAGCTTAATTTGTAGAAAGTAATCATCTACAAGTATATATACACACATATACGAATGGTATTTTGTCTTATATTAATGGATGGAATTTTTGCACGTGATGAGCAAAAAGTTTTCTAAGAGATATATACGTGTTGACGTGATAGCTGATGAAAGCATTCTCTAGAAGTAAAGTAAAATCAACTGAATATAAAATTCAAAAGTTATGTCAGCCATAGTGCTGAAGCGGCTCCAATGATAGCCACTTGAGGGGTACAAATAGATATAGAAAGAAAAAATAATAAGGAGGTTGAACTGAAACATGGCTTCAGTCTTTAACTGATAGATCATAATGGCGACGGAGAACCTGAAGAAAATAATTAGGATAGAAGGTGTTTAACAAGTGTTTTTAATAAGACCTGCCATTTATTAAAAAAAAAAAAAAAAAAAAAAAAAAGTTACAAGATCAAATGCATCAAGTACTTATCCAAGCGTCATACACTACTAGAAAAATAGAGGGTTACCTACAAGGAATATTGTAGGTATTTTGTAGGAAATAAGGTTTAGGTACAAATTTCCAACGAAAAGTTTTTGTTTGAAAAAGGGTCGGCGTGAAGCGGCTGTGACGGTGCTTTATCGCAGCAACAGTAGTGTGGTGGGACAAATCGCGGATGGCTAGCGATTGTTTGGGGATTCGTCGCCCATGGTTTGGGGAGAGCCGTACATTTTTTTTCATCCAAATGTAAAAAAGCGGCTAGGTTAACCGAGAGTAAGGGTTTTTGATTTTGTAGGAAATTTGTCGGAACTTTCCAACAAATTTACAACGGAAGCCAAAAATAAATAAATAAATAAAGCTGGAAGGAATTGAACATTTGAACACGAGGTCTTGTTTCAAAAGCCTTGTATATTTCAAGTTATATATATAATATTAGAAATTATTATTTTTATTAAGTTCATAACAAATTATTGTTTTTATTTGTTTTCTAGGTTTTTTATTTTTTTATTATTGCTAATGTAAATAACTTGATAATTTTAGTTTTTTTTATCCAATTCAAATTCTATATTTTTAGTTTTTTTGTAATAATTGTTTCTTAATTTTTTTATATAATGTATATTAAAATTCTTTTAAAAAAAATTAACTCCAAATATTAGGAGGGAGAAGCAAAGACAAAAGGTGGGAAAACCTTTTCAATTCCCGCTATTATTTTTCCTCAATTTCCGACAAAATACTAATTTTAAATATTAATTAATACTTTCGTTGGTGTTTTGTAGGAAAATAGCTATATTTTTCCAACAGAATACGTAGGGCATCTATTCTGGTAGGTATTTTGTTGGAATTTTGTTGCATTACACTTTTGTTGCAAGTTTGTAGGAAACTAGATGAATATTTCCAACAAAATTTTTTCGTAGTAAATATTTGATAGTTAAAACCAAATTTTCTAGTAGTGATAATCAGCAAACTTAAAGCCAATCTAAGTGTGCCAGATAAAATTAAATTCTTAACTACTACTAAATCATATGTGAATATTCAATACAAAAGTTGACCTAATCACAAAGAAAAATTTGAGAGTTGATGGCCACTCCTTGAAAGAGTTGACTAAGTTGTTGATCGTTGTTTTTATTTATTTATTTATTAAAGGTAATAACTTCATTTCCTATTAATTGTTTTATACGAATGGTCGTCCCCGTGATTTTAAGATTTTAATGAAAGTTCCGTGTAGTTTCTAAAATTTGTACGATTGGTCTTTGAGCTACATAAATACCTTATTTTCCGCTTTTAATTTCTTACATATTCTTCTAACTAAAGTTAATAATTGAAAATAAGAAAATAAATAAAAAGCGCTACTCACCCCCACTCGCACCCTCTCCTTCTGTACTTGTTTCATTTTCTTCCTCTTCTATGCAATACTCCTCTTCCCTCACCGATATCGGCATCCCTCTCTACCACCACCACCAAGATTTGAGAAGGAGTTGTCCGAGAAATTAATTGATTTGAGATTCTTAATACTCATTTGTTTTCCTTTTCCGTAACTATCAACACCAGTAAAACAAACAACTTTAAAGAATCCCACTTTTTATAAGAGTAACATTAAAAATCCCAAATTTGACAAACTTGTAAATTAAATCACCAGAACTTTGAGCGGCGAAGCTTGTATTGCTTACAGAAAAGGTAAATTAACCAAAAAACACATTAGTTAAAGAATGAAGGATTAGAAGTACACACGAATGTAAATCCTCAATAAAGCACCAAAATCAAGGCCATCATGGTCAATAATCTCATGTTCCTTTACGTGAATAGATTGAGGCACCTAATTAACGAATTTAAAGTAAGTATTGAAATTGAGATTAACGAAGATTTAGAATCTCTCGGATACCAGAGACCAAGATTTGGAGTTTCATTTAGGTATATAAAAATTATTTCCACAACTAGTACATGAGATTCCTTGAGGATATCTTGAATTCTTGCACACAAAGGAGGATTACTAGTAGTGAGATACATCAGGATCCAATCATTCCCCTTTACAAAGAAGGATTAACATCCTTTCAAACGGGATCAAACCATATTTTAACAATGGTGGACATTGGAGTTTTATTTAGCACTTAAAGCCATTGAAGGAATATTTATTAAGAAGTTCAATGATGTACTTACTATTGTCGATGAAATTACCTTGAGTTGATTGTTTAACTTGTAGACCAAGGAAGAAAGTCATCTGCTAACCAGCTAATTAAAAAATTTCTTTTAAAACAATTAATGTAAAAAACATGACCTTCAATATTTAAAAATATTAGTAATTAAAAACATGAACTTCAGTATTTAAAAACATTAGTAATATAGAAATTTCTTTTGAGTAGGGTCCTCGACTTAATCGATTAAGTCCTTAAAGTAGAAGGTTGTTAAGCCAAAAATCATGGCGCGGCATCTGTGTGTCACGACGCGATTTCTAGAGATATCCTAATTATTTTGTCATGTTTAACGGCGTGAAGGTCGTTAACCGTTGACTTTTTGACAAGTTTGACATTTGGTCAAACTTTGATAGAATTGACTACTTGTCTAAGGATTGGTCTCCGTTTGTCAATAGGTGGCTTGTGTTAGTTGTTTTTGTGTTGGTTGCTGTGTTGCGGTTGCTGGTTAGCTTCTCTTGTTTACCTCAAGTGAGTTTGTTCAGTATCACTACAAGAATAAGGATCTATAGGGACGACATTTGTCGTCATTATTGGCTACCTATAGGGACGACATGTCGTTGCCATAGAGTTGACGATTTTTTTTGACTTTTGAGGCTACAGCGACGACTTCTCGTCTCAGTGTGTTAAGCGGGAAAGGATGTGGATTTAGCGCATTCTTGAAACACTTGTCGCCACGACTTATCGCTCTAACAAATAGCAAAAATTATAAATAACATATTTTTTATCCCTTCACGGAAATAATGCTCGGACGTGGATAACTATCGGGATGACTTGTCGTCCCCATAGCTTTATATGCCCAATATTAGGAGAGCATCCCCTTCGTTTATTCATGCACGCTCAATCATCAGTCTCTCTCTCTCTATCGATCGATCGATTGACAATTCTCCCCTGGCGACTTCCCCACCTCCCACTCCCGACAAATCTTCTTACTAACTCTCGATCCTCATGTTAGTTGCCGAAGACCACCGACGATTAGCTTCAACGCCGACGATTCTAACTACCGGCTTCATTTTCACCTCCGGTTACAAATTCTAACGAATACAAGCCCGACTCCGGCGACCTAGGTTAGTGTTCAATTATTGGGAGCCTCTTCATTTCATCCTCTACAAATCAAGCTTTCAGACTTGGGAGTACATGTATTCTCCATTCATTTCAGACATTCGTAATGATTCTGTAAGCGTGGAACAGTTGTGAATTTACATTTAATTCAAATGAAGAGTATTCCTTTTGATTTTATGTTTTTTGTTTACAGGTACTCTAATTTTATAGTCAATCAAGTGGATTTGGATGGAAATGTTGTTCATTTGACTTCCATAGATGCACCAATGGAGGTCTGTTACCATCTCTTATCATCTAATTCACGATCATTTCCATTCATCCTGACATCTGAGTTTAACGGTCTACATTTTTTCGATTCAGACAGCAGAGGAACATGAATCAAAGACTACAAAACAACCAAATGGTAACCATTATAGTGAAATTGAATCGTTTAGAGCCCTAGTTGGTGACTCTGATGCCAACTCCCTAAAGGAGTTTATAGATAAGATAAATTCAAACGATGAAGATGGAGTTACAGTTACCAATACCTCCATTGTTCTTTCTCCAAGTTCTGATAAAGTTCATTGAACAGTAGGAATCTCTTTTTCTCAATGTTTCTTTTCATCAACTATAGCTAATAAATAGTATGTGTATGTGTAATTTACTAATAATTTTCTCCCCTTTAGGCAGTTCATAATTTTTTTAAAGAGAAACTCAAGTTCTTGGTTACTGACACAGTAGATGGACCTGAATCCTCATCAAAATGCATACGTGTGAGATTGAATTCGGGGGGGGGGGAATAATGAAAGACGCAGAGGTAATAAGAAGAGGAAAGGAAGAGATGAGACTCCTTATGACAGTAGACGTTCAGATCATTGGCCTGAGCATCTTGGAAAGTTCCTCAGGTAGTGTCTACTATAGCAACATACTTTCATATATTTCTTTATTATAGCATCCTATTTCCTTTCATTAATGACAATGTTTTACTTTTGAAGCTTTATATTCTTTACTAATGACAATGTTTTCAAATATTCATCTCTAGATTTCATCTTTGTAAGGAAAACAAGGATACACAAGAGGCATTAGGGGTGATTGGAAAGATGCTTGGCATTCAGGTTATTGTGCTTACACATCATTTTGAGTAATTCAATCGAATTGGTATTTTTTTGTAGGAGATTAAATGTGCTTTTTATACAATAACGTTTCACATTCTTCCTAATTTATACAACAAAGTGGATTTTTATACGAAATATGCAATGACATTTCTTTTAAGACCCAAAGATGCAATATTTTACCTGATTATTAATTTTACTTTTTACAGCCAAGGGCGTTTGGATTTTATGGTACAGAAGATAAGTGTGCTGTAACAACTCAAAGGGTAAATATTCTTTTTGTATCAACCATATTAATGTACACAAAAATGTTAATATATATATATATATATATATATATATATATATATATATACACACACACACACACATTTTTTCTTTATCTATGAAGTCTGACATTTTGGCATACTTGAAATCTCAGGTCATTGTATTTAAATAGCGTGCAAACAAAGTCGCTAATCTAAATAATAGATTAATTGGAATTAAAGTTGGCGACTTTTCGTAAGTGCACTGAATTTTATTTATTTGTTTGTTTATTTTCGTTTATAATCAATCTTTTAACATGTGAATGTTTGATTTTGTAATTTGTATTTCGTTATGTCAATGAAGGTCTTCTTCTTGGTCAACTACATGGAAATCAATTCACAATCACACTAAGGTTTGATAAGGCTGCATTTGTTAGATGGGTATTTTCAATGATGAGGATGATGAGGGCATATATGTCTTTTGCATCTTTGTAGGGGGTGGTTGCATATTCTGAGGATATTGTAAAAGCAACAGCAGATGCTTTTGGAAAACATGGATTTGTAATCTACTTTGATATGCAGGTAATAAGGTGTCACTCAGATGAATTAATTTATTTAGAAAAAGAAAAGAAAATGATTAATATATGGATTTTGAAACAGAGATTTGGGAGTAGTTCTATACCTACTCACCTTATTGGTGCTAAATTACTTAAAGGAGAATGGAAAGAAGCAGTGAGCATGATTCTTGATCCAAGGGATGGTGATATCCTTTTAGTTTCTAAAATCATCATTTAAATTTATTTTTATAAATTGAGACAGAAATGTCATATGATTATTTGTTTTCTTTAATATAAGTTTTTGAGTACATTATATTTGTAATAATATAAAGAAAATTTTTAATTATATTTGTAATAATGTAGCGTTTTGAGATTGTAATTAATGTAGTGTTTCGAATATTAATGTTTTGCAATTAAATTTACCATTTTATCTATTTGTAAATTTACTGTTTTAACAATTTTGTGATGTGAAAACTGAGAAATTATACAGAAAAAAAAGAGCAGTTGTATGGGCATACCTATAGAGACGACATGTCGTCTCTACATGTGCATCTACCACGACGACAAACTGTTGCTAAAGGGTAAGGGGAGTCGACTACATATGTATCTATGGAGACGACATGTTGTGTTTATAGATATACCTATAGAGACGACATGTCGTCTCTATAGCTTCATCAATGGAGACCAACAACGTATAACGACGAACCAGAACAGGACGACATGTCGTCTCTAAAGGATACCTGTTGCGACGATATTTATAGCGACGACCTAAAAGATCTATTACGACGGGGCTATGAGGACGAGAGTTGTAGGTACGACATGTCGTCCCGACCACCTATAGGGAGGACTTTTTTAACCTATAGAGACGACATTTGTCGTCCCTATAGGTCCCGTTTCTTGTAGTGTATACTTATAGAATTTAGTATGTATCCTTGTGTACTAGGATATAGTTATGTTATAATGTGATGTTAGGCTGGTAGACTAGTTAGTCTGTTGCACGTGATATTGAGATGTTTGTTATATATATATATATATATATATATATATATATATATATATATATATAGAGAGAGAGAGAGAGAGGAGAGAGAGAGAGAGAGAGAGAGAGAGAGAGAGAGAGAGAGAGAGAGAAAACTACAAAAATGGTTCCTGTGATATGCATTTTTTCCGAGTTTTGGTCCATATCTCGACTTTTTTTTGGCTTCGTGGGTCATTTTCATCTAGTTTCGTTGCAGATTTGGTCCCTCGATAACTGAAATGACTATAATACGCTTAGGATATTTATTTTGCATTTTTTTGAAACTTGACATATTTTTATAATTGAAAAATAAGAGAGGTTCTCTCTCTCTCTCTCTCTCTCTCTCTCTCTCTCTCTCTCTCTCTCTCTCTCAGAGCATTCTAAAACCTATCATTGGATTTGTTCTTCATCATCAACTAAAGTCTATTAACAGATTAAAGGAAAAAACAAAATGAAGCGAGAGATTAACTGATTACAATGTGGTAGTGGAAGCAAAAAGCCCTCAAACTCTCTCTTTCTCTCTCTCTCTCTCTCTCTCTCTCTCTTTGTTACTCTCTCCTCTCTCCCTCTCTACCACTCTGTAAAATCATCCTAGAATCCATCATCTACTCTGTCCGTGTTATTGATTTATTCTTTGTTCTCCAACGAGAAACTAGGTATGGAATCTGATACGGGTACGATGGGCTAGGGAAGGGGTTGCGAGACTACATATCTCATTCCAACACTAACATGGAGATGAGATATCTTTGTTGTCTTCAACCGTTTCTCTTCTTTATCAACCATGTTTGTATTTTCTGGTTCTAATTCTCCCCCCTCCCTCCCTCTTAATTCTCTTTCTCACTCGGTAACATGCGATAGTTGTGGCTGAATCAATTGGAAATTATGTTTGAAGGAGAAACAACTATTAAACAAACCCATCATCAGAACTCGGTTGTGTTTCTTAATTTCTACATAGGGGTATCTACAAAGCTTCTTGTGTATGATTTTATAAGCAATGTGTCACTGAAAAATCTTCTCTTTAACGCTGAAACACCACCTGGTTGGGAATCTTGTACGTAGTCAGAGGAATCTTGTATCTTCATGAAGAGTGTGAGGCTCTTATAACAATGTCTGGATTGGAGATTCGATTAGATTGTAACATATTGTTTTTAGGCACATTCTGATGGGTTTTAAGCATAAGAACAATCCTATGTGCTCATACAAACCCTAATGCTTGGATCTAGGTTTCTCTATTGTACATGCAATGAATCCAAGACTTACAAACCCTAGATCTAGCAAATAAGAACTGAAATGAGGGTTTAGTAATTACCTTTGATTGTTATATAGCAATAACAATCAATCCTTGCTTTGATTGGCTTCAGAAAGCTTAGTGCCTCAAGTGTTGCACCTCTAATGGAGTCACAAACACCACTAAGCAACTTGGATGAAGAGGGAGGAGAGAGGAGGCACCAAAAACGGCTGGAAACCCTAAAGGATTACTTGTCCACGTTTTTGGGGCTTAAGTGTCCTTTATATACATGTAGGCTATTAGGGTTTACAACTAGGAAACCCTAATCTGGCTGCTTAAGCCCTAAGCAGCCCTTGGACTCCTTTAACATATCCCTTGGACGATTTCTAATGGGCTTCCCATAGAATTCGTCAAACCAATATATTATTAGGTGATCCATAGCCCAATTGTAATTATCTTATAACTACAAATCCAGTCCCCTAAGTTTAATTAATCTCTTTTAGCCACTAAATTAATTCTTAATTAATTCTTGACTAATATTAATTAAACAATATGATCTCTCCTTTAATATATTATTCTTATAATATATTAATAAATCATAATTAAACCTTTCTCTCCTTAATTCATCCTACATATTGCTATGGTGAAGGCAACCCAAAAGGACCATGCTCATAATCGGGTCAAGTACATATCAAAATAGTTATGGACTTAGACACTAATCCAACAGTCTCCCACTTGGATAAGTCTAATAACTATTTTTACATAACTTCAGAACCTGATCAGCAATCGTAGCTTTCAAAAGCCGCTGTCAACTCTGATCTTATCAGATACGCGTGTCCTTTAGATAAGGGATCATATATTCCTCCATTCTACAAGATATCGTATAGACATGTGACATGGATTGAAATCATTCTCTCAGTCTATATGTCGTTTCCCGATTTCCGATTTATGACGACTGACTAATTGAACAAATCAAATTAGTCCTGGCCCGGCCGAGCACTTTCCTGTGTCATCACTAAATCATCGAGGGGCCCAAAGATATCGCTTTTTATCCCACTTTGGGTAAAAGGAATGGATAAACTTCGACTCAAATGCTTGCTTGCACCTACTAATCGAATCACACACAACAATAAGTTTTATAACACCAAGTTGCTGGTGCGTTTACTTATCATCAATGTGCAATCGACTAGCAAATAACAACTCACACGTCTCGGTTTCAAGAATATACAATGTTATCGTCTCACCAATCACCCGTGATAAAACCATGAAGTGATTCAAGTGAGCGTGGGTTTAATCCAATACTTTAATCTTATCAAAGCACTCATGAACTCTACAGCAAACTTGTGCTATGTCTAAACACTTTAGACAATCTACAGACAGATTCATGACAGTCTTCCTTCATACCTACTTCCAACGTATGACCGACTGTGGAGGTTCGAATAACCTAGTTATTCTGGAAGTCAAAATATGCAAAGTGAAACGCAATAATAATATTAATCCTCTATGGTCCCAAAAATTTTTGAGCGTAAAAAAAAACACTTTTATTTAAACACCATATTGATTACTCATTATTCATTGCTTATTGTTTCAGAAAATCAACTTATTACTCGAATTATAACCACAATTGTCCCATGCTCCAAGCATGCACACTTTGGTTTCCTATGGTCCATATTTTGTGAAATAGATCAATTGAAAAACTTTTCCAATGAAACTCATTTCACAATCCCCAATCCAAATTTTTGCCACTTTTAGAATATGTCAGATTCTAACATTTTATGCAATGATTCTTTCGTAATGTCATAGCACAAAAGTCACCAAGACCCGACTAATGAAATTATAAGGTATTCTATCAGAAATTGTTACAAGACAATTCCATAGATGTGAAGTCTCACATTCATCCTTCTTGCATAAAAGTTTCTAATCTAGACATATTTCTTAATATCCAACTCCCAATAATGGAAACATTTCCACATTTGCCATATGACAACTCATTCTTAATAGAATCTTATCTATTCATAATAATGTCAATATAGTCCATCCAGTACTATACTTCCAACTACTCACAAGCGACGAATCCTCAGTGAACCTCAGATCGTCCTTTGATAGTTGTTTAATTATTTTAGTCGAAACCGATTCTAGTTCCTTTTTCCCTCTTCATGCCCTAGGCATTTGGAAAATTTTAGAATGGTCAAATATTATAGCATATGCAATCGATCCTATACCCGAAGCGTATTGGACACGATGCACAATGTCTCACATAAAGACGTGATACTTTATCAGCCTTCTGCCATGATATTTTATGTGCCATGTTCCCACAATTCGAACTATGAAGAGGGATGCCGTAATCATAATCGAATTTTGAGTATGCACTATGTATCCTTGACTAAATTTATTAACATTTCTCGATCTAAGCTCTAGAATTTTGAAACGAAGTATAATATTCTCTCCCTTAATTATAGCAAAACAACTTTTCAACCATTGCAACTTTGCAAAGTGAATCTTTGTTTTCTATAGTTAATATTGCTAACTTGCAATACTTACCATAATAATCATGCTCCCACTAACATGATGATTATTTTCTTACCAGCATAACACTTATACTCCCACTAGCTTTGACATGTATTCAGAAAACAATTGAACTTCTAGAAAACAATGCTTATTGAATTCCTTAAGTTCATATTTCTAATACCTAATGCTTTGATATGCCTTTATCTAAGCTTTTTAAGCTCATACGCCTTTCCTTAGATAGCTCACATGTGTTTATAAACAATTCAGAATTTATGTTACTAAGTCCCAAATGTTCAGAATAATTGCCAAATCTCACAATTCGAGCTATGAAGAGGGATGCCGTAATCATAATCGAATTTGAGAATACAATTTTCAAAATTGCTATCTTCTTGAAATCTCTCTTAGTGAAAGCATTTCCTTACAATCATTTTCATGAAGGAGGGAAACCTCATGACACTTAGATTTTAAAGTGTATGTGTTCCTA